GGGAGCGCCCCCCGCCCCCCGCCCCTTCCCTCTCGCCCGCCTGCCCGCCCGCCGGAGAGGAAGGGGCGCCCGGTCCCCGGCCGCTGCCGAGTCCGGTCTGCTGGAGCGAGCGAAAGAGAAAGAAGCCCGTCGATCTCCGCAGCCGGCCAAGGCGCGGCGGAAGGAGGTGCCTACCCACGCCCAGCTGCGCTGCCACGCCCTGCTTGAGGTGTGCTCCTCATCGCCGGCTTGCTTGGCTAACCATGGTTGACGCAAGCCATCGTTTCGCGTCAGACCATCCCGGGGAGGGTTTGAAGAGAGTCTCACTCTAGAGAAAAAGTAAAGTCTCTTTTGCGTCGAAAGGATTCTTGTTGCGCGACTTCATGGACGGCAGCCACAGGATTGCGGTTAGCCGTGGCCTTCTTCCGCACGGTCTTGTAACTTCCCTCCCATCCGGGGGACCTCCTGAGCTTTCCTCGTGGCCTTCCCTCGAACGAAGTACTAACCGAATCTAACCCTGCCTGCCTGGCCTTTTGAGGTGACCACAGCCACCAGGTTTTTGCAGCTCTGACCTGAATCCAACCCTTCCCAGCCCAGAAGACTTTCTTTTTAGTGGCACATGGCCATGACCTAAAAAAAAAAAAAAAAAGGGTTTTGCTAATTTTGCCCAAAAATTTGGAAATAAGAAACTTGCACCCTGTTTTGGGGCACATGCCAATCACAGCCATTTTGTATTTACATGACTCATTGGACATCCAGACAGGAGTAAGGGGGCCAAGTGATGTCATAATATAATTTGTGTCTGCACAGTGGTGTAATGATACCCAGGATGTCATTGTGGCTTCTACTTGCCATCTATGAACTGAGGGCAGCTGTTTTCTTATTTATTATGCACTTGGTGTGTAGTGTATGGTAAAATGACCATAAAGTAGTCTAGTCTAGTCTAGTCTTTGGCTATTAACCAAAAGGGGAATACATTCTGAGAAAGCAGGAAAAAAAAGTTGTGGAATGAATTAGGGGGCAAGATGTCAGGGTAGAAAATTAAGTTTTGTTGGGTCAAATCTAAGTTCTAAACATTGTTGTCTAAACATGTTGGGTATGCATGTTGTACAAACCTGGATAATTGCACTTTATGACTTTGTTCTGCAAATCCCCCCTTTTGCAGTTTGTTAACAAACCATGTCTCGGGTCTCCAGAGTGGGGCCTAGGAGTGACCAGGTGCCCGAGGTTCCGTATGGGCATCAGAGGCATTCTTAGGGGAACCACCACACAAGACGTTTGCACCAGTCTGACACTGGCTCTGGTCCTGCCTGATCAGATGATGTTGGTTCTTTCTGAGAGCCAAGTTAGCTATTTTCTGCTTCTGCCTTGGTTTATTTTCTGACAGTGCCAGTCCCAACATTAGGTCTTGTCTTCTCCCTGTGGCAGGGATTCTTACTTCTGCCAGCCTCCTGGGCTCAAGTAAGCCATTTTCCGTCAAAGCAATGACTGGAAAACACCCCAAGCAACCTGATCCTTTGCGTGGCAGCTGGCCCCTTGCAGAGGAAGAGGGGAAAACAGACAGAACTCAGGTTGATTTCAAGCCAGTTCCCTTTGTTTGGGCTTCTGTCATGAGTACCTGAGGGTGGGGGTGGGGGTTAGTGACAAAATGTGCATCGCAGTCGTGGCACAAATGCTGCTCCTTACATACTGGAGTGTGTGATGCAAGAACAAGCTGGAGTTTGCACTATGATGTCACAGCACGGGCATCATTTTGGAATCATCATGGCCAGCTGTAGGCACCTCTGCTAGTAGATGGCTAGCAAAAGGAGTTGCAGGAGTGTGAAAATGGTCAAAATAGCCAGTTGTCCTTAAAGGAGAATTCCTGCAGGCTGTCTGCATTGTTTAGGATTTCCTCTCCCCCCCCACCCCCCAGCTGCTACAGAAGCCTGCAACCAAGCTTAGAGATATTGGCAGAAACACCTGGGTTCAAAGCTGATGCTATGGTATCACTGTGTAATAAGGGAGGCATGGTGGGTTAGATTTTTTTCTTTTCTTACAAGCCATCATCCACTGCAGTGGATCAGCAAACATGGAAGGGGGTGGGAAAGGGATACAGTACTGATTTATTATTATTTTTTTCTCTGTTGAAGAGAGGCGAAAGGGGATTCTTAAGTTCTTGAGAACCACCACCTCTGCAGTTCAGGAGACAGGACCCCGATGGGAATGATGTATTTCATGCTCTCCTCTCGGAAGGAGCAGTGATTGGGTCCTGATGATCTCAGCCTGCGAACCTGTGCTTTCCAGCCAGCTCCAATGAAGGCAACTGAGACTGATTTCAAACTGCTCTGGAGAGACTGGGGGATAAAAATTGTTCTGGTTTTGGAGGGTTAGAAAGCAAATAGACAGGTCTGCTCCCCAGTGCCTTATTGGCATATTGGGATTTTGTAACTGGTCTACCCATCATAACAATCATTTGTGGGTATCCATAATATACTCTCAGCATTCCAAACGTGTAGTTGTCCAAAAGGTTTGAAGATGCCTGAACTATGGCTGAGTATGATAGTGAATCACCTCTTCTACTCTGTACAATTTGCAGCCTTTCGAATCCCATGAAGTTGGCAACTGAAGCCAGGAGAATCTGGTTGTTGTCTCTGATTTGGCCCAGCTTTCCCCAATTTGACATCCTCCAAATATGTTGGGAGTGCACCTCCCAGAATTCCCAGTATTGGACCATTTCAGCTGGAAATTGGGGCAGGGGTGCACTCCTAACACATTTAGGAAACACCGGGTTGCAGTCTTATGCATATTTATCAGAAATGAAATTCTACTTAATTTCTAAGTATATGTGATAGGATGGGGAACGGAGTCCCATTCAACTTTGAATTCACTAAGCAGCTTGGGACAAATGAATGTGTTTCTTACTGGGGTCACATATTGTGCCAAACCTGTGTTTCTCAACAGTTTTCAGATCTGTGAACTACAACTCCCGGAATTCTGTAGACTGCATGGCCATTGCTGAGAATTCTGAGTTGCTTTACACATCTGGAAGTTGCCAAGGTTGGAAACACTGGGATAAGTCTCAATGTGGTTTATTATGTTTTAGCTTAACATGGCATGAAGTCATTGTGGTTTGCTCAACTACCCATTGTTCAGCAAACAATTCCTTTGAATGATGGATGAACCCAGCCATTGTGTAGGTGCCCAATTTGTGCTACTCAGCGCATACTCTGGAGTTTTTGTATTTTAGGACAGATGAGTATCAGCTTTATTTACAAGAATGAATCTGGCTAAACTAAAATGTGACACGGGATGGTGCATTGTGAAAATTGAGAAAACTGGTTTGATAAAGCCATGTGTGTTGCGCAAATATTGCTGGAGGAAGCTACTCTGATCATGGTTTCACTCAGTCCTCGGTGTTGCAGGAGTGTGACACCACCTACGCTAGAGAAGAAGCCAGTCACCAATCTGCAACAGGTTTTTCAACTATTGACTAATCGCAGAGTGAGGTGGAACCCAAGTGACCACTGGATGTAGAACTGAAGTGGCTGTGAAACCTAAGTGCCTTTAATTACACCTTTTCTTTTCTTTTTTCCACTGTGGGAAGTTGCTTTGAACTTTACAGTCAGGAAATCGTACTGCTTTTACAGTGGCCACGCATGAAAATGTCACAGCCACCAAAGCATAGAATTCAAGCTTAAGTTTCAGAATTTGCAAGAAATTTAACCCGTTTTTCAGTAACTCCCATATACAATATACTTGCAATAAACACTGGGCTTTCTCTGAAATTCTTGAACAGGGATGAAGTTGCAAATAGCAGGGGATGGGATAGGAACGGGAAAGCCCAACATTTTAGCCACCAGGACTACAGTTTAAAGCAGAGACTTACAAAATTTACAAGTAAACTGAAACCATTGGGCCATGTTATGGCTGAAGCTGGCAAGGGGGGAAATGGCAATGCTTAGACCAGAGAAAACTGTTGTGTAAGCATTAGGCAAGCGCATCCTAGTCTCAAAGCTAGGAAAAGAGCAGTTATTATCCATTGACTCGAAAGGGCAAGTGGAAAAAGCTTAAGATTTAAACACTGGTGTGGCCATCTCTCTAGTTCTCTATCTTGGTTTCTATGTTCCAGCTCTTCTGTGTACTGTATATTTGGCTTCTTTCTTGTCTGCAGTAAACAACTTATCTAGCAATGTTTAGTCTGTGGAGCTTCTGCTTTTAGCTAATTCCTGAAAATGGAAATCAGTCTCAAGAGTAGAGATTTGGAGCCGTGTCTGGGCTGAAGTCTGACAGCCAATGGCTGTGTTTTCTTGACATGTTAAGTAACCCAATTTTCTCAGTTTGCACAACAGACTAAATCAAACAGGCCTTCATATTATAACCATCCTGTATTTTTCCACCATTCCTTCCATCCCGTCCTCTGGCCAGAAAACAAAGAAAACCATTAAAAGAGGAACAGTGCTTTATGAATGGAGCTCTTACAATATCTGTTATCTGTTAACATCTGGAACAGCTTAGCTGATTATGGAAGTTTGGGAGTCCAAAGCCTCTGCAGGAAATCAAGTTGGGGAAGAGGGATCTGGAAGCTCTTTCGGGTCTCTAGTCTCCCCAATGCCTTCCTTATGAAAGAGGTTCCCATCGCTGGCGGGGTACGTTGGCCGCATTGTACTGCCACGTTGTCGGATGCTTGCTTTGGCTTAATGGCACAGAAAGCAAATTTAACTGGGAAGTCAGCGTACTAAAAAATGAATGTAAAAATCACCCACCTTCAGCAACTTCTTTAATTCCAGACATGCTGCTGGTCCTGAGGCTTTTTAAGGAGAATGGTAGGTGACTGGAACCAGATGCTTTTTTTTTTTTTAAAGGTGCTCATCTCTTCAGGAAAAGGAAATCTTGGACGGGACTAATAAAGGAGCATCATGGAAGGAGGAACCATCTTCAGAACCTGGGGCAGGGAGAAATGAGGAGATGTTTTGTTTGTCCATGTCTTAAGTACATTTTGGATGGCCCAGGCCAAGGCAGGATGAGTAGAAATAGGTTTTACCTATTTATTAGTATTTGCAGCAGCAATCCTACTGCAAAGCTTATACCCCAGGTATTGGCCGATTTACTTATTTAAAAGAGTTTTTCAATACTTTTCTGAGCTTCATCCGCTATTACACAGCCTTGCCAATATTTGTGATTGCTTCCTTAAATGCTTCAGAGATTTCTCCACTCTCTCTAGCCTACTTTCATTGTTATTACTGGCTTTCTTTTTAATAAGCTATCTGCCATGGTTCTGTTTCTTATATATATATATAATATAGTAATTCTATTAAGCATTACAGTTAAAAAGAATACAAGCTAAAAAAATAAAAAATAGAAAAAATAGTGCAGAAAAGAAGGAAAAAAATAGAAAGAAAAATAGAAAAGAAAAAAAATCTAGTAAAGGAAAAGAAATATATACAAAATGACTTCCCCCTTTATCACAAATATAAACAATTGTAGTAATTTATCACCTTGTCTTAAAATACAGCAAATGATCTCTTCTTCCTATATTTTATCTATAAACAAATCCATAAAGCACCATCATTTCAGTCCTGATGTCAGCAGAAGTCCAGTAGGAGTTGCCAGAAATAACAACATAACTATTTTAACCTTAACCAACTTTATATTCCTTCCTTTTACTTCTAACAATCTTGATCTTTAGTCCTTCAGATAATGTCCTAGAACTTTATTTCTTTTCATTTTTTCTTTGTCCCTTCTCACAAAATCCTTCAAAACTTTAACATGCCCCTTTTGTAAATCCAATATAGGAAAGTTATCTAGGTCACTCTTTTGGTTTGTTATTTGTGTATCATTTTTAATTATTAAGACATCAGCCGGTTTCATTTGTATATCCAGTGTAACATCTTTTTCCATATTATTCTTGTAGCCTGTCATTAGTAAATCCACTTTCAGATCAATCTCAGTCTTGTCCAGTAAAACTTGTTCCTCTTCCCTAACGTCTTTTAAACATAGTCCATCTATAATGGCAAACATTTTTAAAATTAATTTCAGGGTCCACTGTTCACAATCCTTCAATACATCCGATGTTAAAAGTATTTTGCTCCATTCTGTATTAGTAAGTCAGATTTAACTGTTCTTCTCCTTTAATTGTAATCTTCAGTTGCTTCTGGTTCCCCTTCGTGTCCAACCTTCAAAGTCCCATCCTATCATGTTTTTGTTTTTTATAAGAATTCAAAACAACAGTATTTTCCCACAGGAAGCATTTTTACAATTAATTTCAAAATCTTATTTCAAATCCATCTGGACCCTTAGTCCATTTGTAACTTTCCAAAATCAATGTTCTAATCACCCTTTTGCTGTTTATTCCAACAGCAAAGAAAAGAATTTTTAAAAAATCTATAAAACTTTAAAACTTTTTATAAAACATTTGTAAAACTATTTAAAACTTCTTTCACTAAGGATTGAAGGAGGCTCACCAGGTGCTCTAAAACTTGCTGTTTTAATAGCTAAAAAGCAGTGAAAAAGCAATTTCTGAAAGTGATTAAGAAATGAGGCTCAGCGAACCGCATGTCCATCTACACGGCTGTGAGCTTGGTTGAAATCCCTCAACTCCCAGCTGCTTGACTCATGAACCAACTACAAAAACCTCCATTCCTGCAGTCTACTCATGAGGAGCAGCTGTCTTGGACTACATGTGGGTGATCTCAAGATCTCTCCTTTTTCCAGAAATTTTGCCAGCCAGAATTCACTGTCTGGCTGTCCATCTCTGCCACGATGAGGTTCCATGAATCCTTACCGGAAGTCCCATTATTCTGTTTTTTAGAGATTCTGGACTGGGCGAGTCATGTGTCAGCAGTTTTACCATTTTCAGACTCTTGATTTATGCTTCTTTTAGGGCAAGGCTTCTTTTTTCTCGCTGGATGCTTCAAGCTGCTTCTGTTCTTCTCTGCCCCATGATAGTCAGCTACTCCTCCATATCAATTCCTGGAGTCTTATCTCCCTCCCTCCCTTCCTTCCTAACTGTAGTCTCTAGACACATATATGGTTTCAACAGTAACATCCAACTCCTGTTCCACCACCTTTTGGGCCTCGTTGAGAGTTCTCTTAGTTAGCAGCTGGCTGGCAGGAAGATGATGCTATAGATATCCTTGTGGTTTCTAGAAGAGTTATCAATCTACCGTACAAGGAAGAATATTTCTCTTACAAAAGTTCTGCCTTGGCTTCTATCAAAAATTCCAGAAATGATCTGGGGAAGAGTTGCTTCTTTTGAACCAATTAAAGCTATACTTCTCTATAGACATACATGGGAAGGAAGAGTTTGCAACTTTTGGAGTCATCCCTGTTAGCTTTCTTCCAGCACTTTTGTTCTGATCTTTTTTTTTAAAACATTTCCACATTCCCTAATAAAACTGAATATATATCTTAGTATGTGAATCCGGCCATCACATTTAGCCACTATGTGGGTGGTTTGTCTTGAGCCAGTATACTGTGTAAACACAGTCATTGTGGTTTATTAATAATGGATTATAGTTTAGTGTGTTGTGCAAATAGAGCCTCTGTGGGTGTGTGGTTTTGCCTGTATTTGTATTGCTATCTTTTAATAAAATCTGTATGCTTTGCCTCTATGTTTTTCAGACTTCTTTGAGATGGGTTTTTTGGTTAACAATCATAATTTACTCAACTAATCCAATTAATTAGCACAGTATACCAAACCATGAACTAACCATATGACCTGATTTTGCATGGTACCCTACGCTAAAATATGGTTGGCTAGTTTGTGGTACTAATATATTGTGTGAACATAGCCAGGGGTTAGTTACCCA